AAAATTGTTCTTCTGCAAATATTATGTGACAGAATAACTTATAAAATCTAAAAATTTATAAATTAATATAACTTTTTATCTATCAATTTTAGAGTTATGATTTTATTACCATTAAATGTGCCTTACAAATATAATTTCATCTTTCTATAATCACTAGATCTTAAAATATTTTAAAAATTCAAAAATTTTTAAAGTTAATTTTAATCCCTACAGTTTAAGGAATAGTAATGTAAGAATAAAATTATATGTAAATTTATGAAAAGAAAAGGTTTTATTAAGTTAAAAAAGGTAGTTGTTCAGATGGTTTTTAAGAAAATTACATAATTTTGATTTCTATAGTTAAATTGTATTTTTTATAATAAAAATTTTTTTTAAAACTAAGAATTGACAAATTTTTATGCGATTAATATCCAATTATATTTATTTTATATATTTCATAAAAAAAGTTTATTTTTTTTTAAATTCTTAATAAGAGGGGGAGGAATTATCTTCTGGTTAAGATTAGCAATACTCTATATATATTTTATATAAGAACTAGCAGCATAATTAAATATCGCTGATAATAGTAGTATAAAATCAATTAAATAATTAAATAATAAAATTAGTGATCAGCAATTATATATGATGGTTACAATTTCATGAATGCCTTTTTCCTAAATATATCTTTTCCTGAAGTCATTTGCCTAAATGCCAATTTTCTGAACTAAATATTTTCCTGAAATATACAATTTTTTGAATCCTTATTTTTCAATTTCCATTTCCTAAAGTCTAATTTTCTGAATCCTAAATCCCAATATCTTGAATTCCAATATCTCAAATTTAAATATCCTTAATTCTAATATTTTGAATTCTAATATTCTGAATAGATTCAGCATATATAAAAATATAGTTTTCTTAATATATGACAAGGAATATTAAAAAATTCTCAATTTTCAAATTAGTAGACAATATTAATGATTTTATTGTAAAAATGAAAAAAATACTAGGATATAAATATTTATTAATATAAAATAAATCAGCAATATGTATGTATTTTTTTATTGTCTAGACAGTAGAAAAGAAGTTAGCACTTACTATTATATATGTTAAAATTTTGTATCTCAACTTAAAATGTAAATATCTCCAGATCCAGTAATCCAATTGGCAAGCTCTTTTTTCGTTTATATAGACCACATCAAAGGCTTTCCAAAGAGCCTAAATTTATAAAAAATGGATTAGTGGATCCCAAGATATTTGCATTTAAGCATGTTAAAAAGTTCGTACCTCAACTTTAAACGTAAATATCTTTGGATCTAATGATTCAATCGGCAAGCTCTTTTTTCGCCTATAAAGTCCAGAACAAGGGCATTCCAACGTGCCTAAATTTATAGAAAATGGATCAGTGAATCTTGATATATTTGCATCTAAAGATGGTAATACAAACTCCGACATAAAATAATTATTTTTATTGTTTGAAAATATTTATTATGATACCATCTTTTATATGATATTTTTATTATACTTTTATAAACATTTATAGCTACTAAGGCTATATAAATTTTTATTTTACTTTATATTTTATTAAAATATACTTACTTTTTAATAATATATGTTCTGTCTCTTATACACATCTAGATGTGTATAAGAGACAGGTTTATTAAAATATACTTACTTTTTAATAATATATGTTAAAAATTCTATATATATGAGAAATAGGTTTTTTATTAGTGAAATGGGTTTTTTCACAACTCTTTTACATTTAATAATTTAAGTTTTGCAAATGTAAATTTTTGTTTAACTTATTATTTAGTCAAGTGATCATCAATCAGATGATTTTTTGGTATTATAAAACAATTTTGAGTAATAAAAATTGTGAAAATCAATTAATAACTCTTTTTAATGCAGAGTAGACAAATCAGCCCATATGATGAAATACTTATTTTATATTAAATCTCAAAATCTCATTAGTAAAGTTACTTAATTATACTCCAATTTAGATAAAAATTAATATGTGAAGTAAAATTAAGCTATAATTAAAATTTTAGTATACATTATGGATAAATTTATTTGTAACATCCTGTTATACACTTTTTTTGTAACAACCTCAGAAAATTAGGTCGGATAAAAATTTTATAAAATTTAAAAATTTTAAATTTATTGCTTTTTTTATAATATCGAATTTATATATTTATTTATTATAAAATCACGTGATTTTGGTGGCTTTGAACTGATTATTGCACAAAAATAAAATGCACAGTACAAGTATCAACGCGCATTTATTTAAAGAAACTTAACTATATGCACTCTATAAATGTAAATGGCTTCTGCAAACATAACATATCATTAAGTGAATTGTCAAAAAATAAGTCAAGACAAAGAATCAAAACAAAGATAGATATATTACCGATTCTGGCACCTTGCGCTATTATGTCCTGTTTGACCACACATTTTGCAGGTATATTTCACGTGAGACTTTGTTTCAGTTGAGGATTTATATCACTTTGTTTCTGGACGCCCTTTACGTTGCGAAACTAGCGGATTTTCAACTTGTAAAGGTTCGTTTTCTTTGTTGTTATTCACTTGAACTTCCATAAGGTCTTGGTTTTGCGCGATTTCTATTTCTTTGTGCTTGTCAATAAACTTTTTTAACCATCCAATTATCTCACCATGACTATCATGCTCAACAGCAAGTTGAGTTGCCTGCCGTGCAAGCCCTACACTTCTCCATACTTCATCTTTTTTTTTGTTGCACGATATAAAACATGGGTAACAGTTGTAGGAATAGCCAAAGGATTTGGAACAAATATTATACCCGAAAAATTTTACATGGACTCCTGGCTTACAAAAAGAGTTGTTGCACCAGCATCCTTACTTTTTTGATCATCAACATACCATCGTGAAGGTATCATCTGAATTTGAAAGCCAGCCACTGCTAAAATCATCATTACTCGAAAATAATGATGACAAATAGTGCTCTACATGAGCTGAGCCAGCTTGTGAGCTTTTAAGCTGCACTAAGCCAAGCCAAACTAAGTTGCAGTTATAGCTTGGCTTGATGTTACCCTGACTCTATTTATTAAAAATTAAAACTAAAGTTTCAAAACATGATAACTTCGCCAATATTGCTCCAAATTTAATAAATTTACTACCATTCGATTCCTCTTGATGAGACGAATCTAATGGTAGTAAAATCATTAAATTTGGAGCAATATTGGCGAAGTTATCACGTTTTGAAATTTTAGTTATAATAAATTTTATATGATTTTGAAAATGAGCCAGCTTGTGAACTTTTGGAACAAGCTAAGCTAAGCCAAGCCGAGCTAGCCCTTGGCTCGGCTCAAGCTGGCTCATGTAGAGCTTTAACGACAAACAATACCACGGGATATATTAGACATACACAAACAGAGATATGAGACAGGATCAATTATTATTACGAAATGTATGTGTTTTTTGTTATCAGGTCGCACGTCCGTAATCTTCCATAGTTCACAAACTCTTTCTTCACCAACTTCAGCTATCATTGATTTTAATAAGCCCTATAAAAAAAGAAAATTCGGAATTTGTCTTGAAAAGTATGGAAAATGTCCGGAAATTTTCCGTGCGTCCGGAAAACATTCGGAAACGGTCATGTTTTGGAACATTTTCTGGACGCTCGATTCTGGACAAATTCTGGACAAATTCTGGAGTGTCAAGAAAATGTCTGGAATTTGTGCGTCCGGAAAGTGTTCCAAAACGTGACCGTTTCTGAATGTTTTCTGGACGCACGAAAATTTTCCGGACATTTTCCATACTTTTCAGGACAGATTCCGAATTTTCTTTTTTTATAGGAAAGGTTTGCTTGGCATCATATTTATCTTCAATACATCCATCTGTTATACTAACACTTGGATCCTATATGGCAAAAATGAAAAAAAATGATTCGTTACTAATTTCTAACACAAAAAAATAGACTTCAAATTACCTCAATAATGTTTGACTCCACTTTACTTGCAATAAAATAGAGACATTGCGCTATTTCAGAACGTACAGCAGATAAAATGTGAGGAGTCAAATATTCGGACAATAATTTATCCACTTTTGGAAAAAGATCATGGCCAACTGATGCGATTCCCATACAGGTTGATAGGGTTTGATATTCAAAGAATTGATTCCATTTTACCTCACTTTTGAGCCGAGCATCAAGGGCACTTGTGAGATTATACAAGGTACTATTTGATGTTAACTCATGTTTAATAATGTTATTATAACCTTTCACGCGTGAAGTGGTTTAGATCCCGCAGTAAATATTCTTGACATGAATGCTCGAGCCCATGCCCGCCGGCTGGGATAAAGGGTTCTCATTAAATAATCTTTCACACTTGAATATTTTTCAATAAGCTTTGCCCATCTTTCATAGAAGAGTTTTTCACACAAACTATTGCGATAATGATAAAAGTCACGAACAAAATCATCGTACTAATTAGAAAGTTTGAATTTCGTGTTTTTTGGCAGATTTTCGCTTATATGAAAGATATAGTGAATTGGGTAAGTTGTTTCATATATTTGTTCAATTGCCGCATCCATAGCAGGATCCGTGTTAGTAACAAATACTAACGGTTTGATCATTGTTGCTTTTTTTGTGCACTCTAAGATCCATTTATAAGATTCCGTTGTTTCATCAGATATAAGTGCCTGTGCAACAAGACGAGATCTAGTATTATTATCAACGGCAAGAAAGAGTGAAAGTGGCATGTTATATCGGTTGGTTTTTGCAGTATTATCGTTTAAAATGATATCGTGATACTCCAACCAAAGAGCAATATGTGTTGGAGACATCCAAAATAATCAAGAAAGCCTATTTCTTGATCTAGTTGAAATTCAATGAACCACCCAGGACTGTTTGACTTATACTCGATTAGTGTTTTCAGTAAATGAGATGCATCATGTACTATATCTGGCTTAACCTTATATTTTTGTATTGCATTGGCGAGATCACAATCAAGGATAGAGAGAGTTGGAAATTTTGCCTTTAATAACTTTCTTTAAGTAGTGATCGCTAGATTTCCATATTCAGTGAGAAATTGAACTTCTTTAAGAACATCATCAGGAATATAACGGTATTTTGGTAAATACTTTTCAGTATCAGCAGGAAATAACGTATGGTTGTGAGAGTTATTGAAAGTGGTAAGTTTTATAATTTGAGAGTTTTGGGTGCGATTGAAATTTGCATTCCATGGGCATTGTAGGCGTTTTGTTTTACAGTTTCGATGACTATTAATATCAACCTGTTTATGTGATTGATAATGGCCACCGAATTCACATCCAAAACTTCGATGCTTTATGTTTCCATCCTTGTGTTGACCTAATCGTTTCTTTATAATTGTAAATCCATTCTTTTTACCGAAGGCTTTCATGACATTATCAATGTCATCCTATGACTTAAAGATACAACCAATACAAAGATCTGTAGTTGAATCTTCAAAGGTAAAATGATTTAGTTACTATTTGGATGAATTGCAGAATATTTACACAAGAAACAATGAAGAAACTAATAATTTTACCTTTACTTTCTAGGTTCTGAGGTTCTGTAGTATCACTCAGTTCAACCTGTTCTATATCTATATCATGAGAAAACAAAAGTTTGAATATTGCAAAAACAAAATCAGATAGATTATTAGAAATACTATACACTATATACCCTTATTAGTATCGTTTTGGTGTACTTGTCCTAATTCTTCCTCTAAGTTTGTATGTTTTGAAATAAGAAACGATATTGTATCCACATAAAGCATATAAATAAAGAACTTACATACTTTTATGTGGTATTATAAGCGTAAATTTTTGAACATTCAATTCAGATACGTCCATCTTGTAATGATCCTTGTTAATTTTAGGGCAAAAAAAACTTGTAAAACAAAAAAACTTGAAGTAAAAAGTTGAGTGAAGCGAGCGAAGTGTTATATCGTGAAAATAATGAAAAAGTTTTGGTGGCATAATGGCGTTATAGCGTAACGTGTATAACAGTGCATAATATGTGTAACAATGACAATAATTACAATAGTTACACACATCATAATGCGATTTGTGAAGCATAATTTTGGTCAAAATTAATGCTAATTCTAATAATTACAAGATTTGGTGCAAAAAAGTATAATTCTGGCCAGAATTAATGACATGATTGAAAATTTCCTTTTTTGGAAATTTGTACAATACTGGTGCTACCTACTTCTCCAAATTTAATGGGAAAAATAATTTCTTTTTTTGGAATTTTGTGTAATGTCATGTGATAAATCCGAGGTTGTTACAAAAAAAGTATATAACAGGATGTAGAGGTTGGAACCGACCAAAAAAACCTTAACCGATTAATAATCGATTAATCAGTTACCATAACTGAATAATAATCGGTTAATTAATCGGTTAATTAATCGGTTAATTTGTGATGAGGTTAACCGATTAATTAATCGGTTAATATATAAATTTTGCATCCCTATATGAATAATATACATGTATTATTTCAAAAAGTTATATCAAATTTTAATGGGAAATGAGAACTGACTTTAATTCAAGGTTTAATTAAATGGGAAATTAACAATATTAATAATAGTGGAATTGAATTGCAAGTTTTTAGGAATGTTGTTGATATTTTTATTCCGCCAATATTTTGCGTAATATATATCACATGACATTTAGCTGCGCCATAAATAACTTTAAATAAAAATAAATACTTATAAAAGCATTTAAATATGTTACAAAAAAATATATAATAAATGACCAGATAGAGATTCATTTTCAATAGGCCTATAATCGATATATTTATAAAAAGTTTAAATGGGTTTATTTTTTTGACAAGTTTGTCAATACTGTATATTAAAAAAACTTCTTATCTGAATTTCGGGATAAAAAATCATCTAATTTGAGAAAATGATCTGCATAGTATTTTAACCGACTAAATTAATCGGTTAATTAATCGGTTAATTTAGTCGGTTAATTTAGTCGATTAACCGATTTTTTGATACTTCTAACCGATTAACCGCCTTAACCGATTAATTAATCGATTAACGTTAATCGGTTCCAACCTCTAACAGGATGTTACAAATACATTTTTTCATACATTATTATGTAAATTTTGTAAAAAAAATAACTGATAATGGTATTTTTCATGTGATAAGATTAAATAAATGATTAACAAATAATCGGCAAAATGATTAGCAAATATGTGATAAAATAGAAATGTCCGCCCTGTTAAATTGATCAGGTGAAATTTGTCTTAAAATAAGAAAAAAAATGTTTAAAAATACGTGACTATAGTATGACCAAAAAGCTTATCTCAAGCATTGCAATTTAACAAACCTAAACAAAATTTAATGATTATGCATTATAAATCAGTTGTGATTTGGTAAACCTTACAAACCAGTTGCAAATGTTATATTTACTGCAGATGGTATTGGAGATTACTGTGCCTTGTGTAACTGATTAACTAGTATATTAATCAATCAGCACGAGTCATTTCTGACATGACTTCTTTCATCAATGTCAAAAAAATACACTTATTACTTTTGTAAAATGCTACCAGAAAATTACACCTTTCTTAGCTTCTATAAATATTGATATCAGCAATCTGACTTTACTTTTTCATACCAAAATAAGTCTCGTAAACTTAAGTGCGATCTTAAAGAACTAACGAGAGAAGATTCAGAAGCAGTCAAAGTTTCTGTAAACAAATTGATATAGGATTATAAGGTTATATTTTTTTGTGCTGAGGGTTTTGAACGTGATTATGCGACTAGAAGAAATATTGGCACTTTGGTTCTTTAAAGGTCTGCATTTTCGTTATGTATCACAGAATTTCTCTTATATATACAACTACGGTAGACATCTGCACTTTATTCACTTTATAGTCTGCATTTTTCATTATGTGTCTATTGCTTACCTTCAGCTTTTGTTTTATTTTTTATTATTGCTCTAATTATTATAATTACTTCTTCAACTATATAAGAATCATCATGAAAAATACCTTGATATTAAGATGTTTTGGAATAATATAGAATCATCTGTCATCAATTTGAGTCTACAATTAGATAAGGTTTATTACATTCCCATTTCTTGAGTTCCTATTCCAATTTAAACTTGTATTAACTAAATATGATTAGATAAATACGGCTCGAACAGTAATACATGGTACTGAGAGGTTGATTAAAACTGCTTTAAACGAAGTTGATAGTACACTGAAAACTGATGGAGGTTTTGTTTTTAATAATATACTGGTATATTTACATATGTTCTTTTTTGTGCCACTTACTTTTACACTTATTCTTCTATAGTTGCTTATTAAATATCTTTATTTACTACATTACATGTGAATTTCAAAGAATGAACGACCAGCTGAAGAAACTCTATCTAAAGGAGTTTTTCCAATCAGGAATATAGACAATATTATTAACGCCAAAACTTCTTCAAAAAAAGGTTTGAATTGTGAAAAGGTATAAATGTGTATTTTTCAGCTATAACTGTTATTTGCGATTTATTACAAATGATCTACATTACTTAAGAATAATGATGTAGTTACAAAACAGTGTAAAATCGAAGACAAATTACAAGACCTACCTATTGAAGCCACCTGCACTGAAGGTAAATTACATAATACTCTACCACTATTCGCTCAGATAGTAAAACTGATGAAAAGCATAAATTGGATGAAAATGATGACAGATTCTTTGATGATATAAAAATGGTTTTATTCAATGATTATTTAAACCAAAATAAAGAATCTGAATAGAAATTAAGAGATGGTTGTCTAATCATTGATATTGTTAACATTAAGACCGCTAAATTAATAAAATTAGCTTCAAAAAAAGAGAAGAAAGAATGAATGCAATTTATGAAAAGTGTTATTCAGTATATTCTTTTACTTTTCTGAAATAGGTTATTAATATAAAAAATTCTAACATAGTAAATACAAATTAGGGCTTTCATCAATTATCAATTTGTCTTCAGAGTTTGAAGATGGAATGTATACATAATTTGAGCAGGAATAGACAGATATTAAAAGGAAGGTCTATGGAATTATTAATATGGAGCTGAACGTTTTTGAAAGAGAGATAACAAATGTTATTGATACTGTCGAAGAGATTATTGTCTTCTGCGTATACATACATGTTACTTCATTATTTATTTATATCTATTTTGACCATTCTCAGATATACGATAGGTACAAATATTATGAAGTTTGCGACTATTTATTTAAGATCAGAACTGGCGATCATTCTCAAATAGTATAGCAAATAGTCACAGTATATTTCTACATGTAAGTTATAAATTTTTTTTACAATTTATAATTGTGATTATCTACTGTTAAATTTATTAAATTTATTGTTAGAACTTAGAATCAATGAATTTTTAAAAAATCTGTTCATATTTGTAAACAAAAAAGGCAGATATCAAGAATTCAACGAGATTGAATACGCAATGATTATGACTATACCAATAATAAATAATGTATTCAGTAACACCTTTGATTATCTAAAACTTCACTGGTAAGTTTATCATTATTGTTATCAATATTTGTACAAACAATGACATTTGATTGAATACTTGTATATAAGGAGAAACATTATCTAATTTCATGTCTGATTGTTACCAAAAAATCGATTTGAGAATTGTTCATAAGGCCAAAAATCTTAAACTAAGTCATTCTGAATGCACCAAAACTTCTATTCCTGGAAAGGCTGTGCAAGATATACATGCCACCCAAATTATTTTGGACTGCCGTAATTATAAGTAAAATCCCAAATTCAATTATGGCATCCCAAATTATTTTGGCACTTTACATAGTAAATTATATATAAACTGAATGAATTATGGCATCCCAAATTATAATTATGGCATCCCAAAATAATTTGGGCAGCATGTATAGTGCAAGATCGTTCAAAATGTTTATGAACATCATCAGGAAGTCATGGGAAAAATATTCATCAAATGTATATTTTTGCAAATCATTTACATCGTAATTTTTATTATTTTAAATGTATATGTAATATTTAATATTAATAAACATCACCAATGAGATTTTTATCATGATGTGCATCATTTAATAATGAAAATTCAATGTTTATTAAGTTTATCAAATATGATGTTTTCAAAAATAAATTTTTATGATATCAGCTCCTATTTATTATCATGTCACGTGAAATAATCTTAGCAACATGATAAATGAAACTTCCTCTTCTTTATCCTTTTATTTTCCTCTTTCCCACCCTTTCTCTTCCTCACATTTCCCTTCTCTTACTACTAGTTGAAAAAGGAATATTCGGCCTTAGTAAAATTCGGCCTATATTCGACTAGTACTTAAAATTAAAAAATTTGACCATGATCTACGATTAGATGTTGGTCGAATAATGCACTAATTACACATCACGTCGTCACACATTACGTGTATCAAAAGTTTAAAAAAGGATCATCTTTTTTAAACTTTTTCCTTTCCCTTCCTTTTTCCTTCTTTACTTCTTCCTCTATCGTCCTTCCCTTCCCCTTTCATTCTCCCCTTTTTCTCACACCTTTTTTCTCACACCTTTTTTCTCACACTTTTCTTCCGCCTCTTTTTCTTGAAAGTAATGTAAGTTTCGTTTCGAAACTTACATAATTTTTTTTTTTAATTTTTTTTTTTTAATTTAAGAAACTACTTAACGTTTCTTATTTTATTTTTTTTGTAAAACGCGTACTAGGAAAACGCCAGCTTAAATATGACAAAACCGGACTTTAAGATAGTGAGAAATGGGGAAGGGGGTTTGTTATTTTTAATTAAAGAAATGAACTAATGTTTCTTTTCGTTATTTTTTTTTTTGTAGAACGTCTACTAGGAGGACGCCGGCTTGAATATGACGAAACTGGACTTTAAGGTGGTGAGAAATGGGGAAAGGGGGGGTTTGTTATTTTTAATTAAAGAAAAGAATTAACGTTTCTTTTCATTATTTTTTTTTTTTTGTAAAACTTCTACTAGGAGGACGCTGGCTTGAATACGACGAAACTGGACTTTAAGGTAGTGAGAAATGGGGAAGGGGAAGTTTGTTATTTTTAATTAAAGAAACTACTTAACGTTTCTTATTTTATTTTTTTTGTAGGACGCGTACTAGGAGGACGCTAGTTTGAATATGATGAAACTGGACTTTAAGATAGTGAGAAATGGGGAAGGGGGTTTGTTCAGTTATTTTTAATTAAAGAAATGAACTTTTTTTTTTTTGTAGAACTCCTACTAGTAAGACGCTGGCTTGAATACGGAACTGAACTTTAAGGTAGTAATGGGAAAGGGTTGGGATTTTGTTATTTTTAATTTAAGAAATAATCTAACGTTTCTTTTCGTATTTTTTTGTAGAGTTCTGGTTTCTTCGGCTTTGGGACTTGAATCTGGTAAGTTTCGATTCGAAACTTATGTTTTTTTAATTTATTTTTTTTTTAATTTATTTTTTTTTTAATTTTCTTGTTTTTTTTTGTAGGTATGATTCTTTCGGCTTTGGAACTTGAATATATGGTAAATTTCGATTTGAAATTCAAAACAAAACTTTTTTTTTCTAATTTATTTTTTTTTAAATTTTATATTATTTTTTTTGTAGGTATCGGTTTGTTTATTTTTCGATTAAATAATATGATTTTTTGATACCTTCTTTGATATCTAACTCATTAGATGAAACCAATAAACTAAAAATATCTTTACATGATGGCTTCTTGAACTTCTTCAGTTGGATTTTTTGACGTTAAATGGCTGACTTCGGTGGTTTCTTTTTTATAGAACGGTACCTTGCTGTAGATTAGCGTCTTAGAATGAATTGTTAAGTTTTGAAGCAAATCTTTGCTTTGGAACTTTTTTAAAATTTATTTATTTTTTTTTGATTTTTTTTTGCAGGTACTGGTAGATTGAGTTCCCGGATCTTAGACGATAGGATTTGTAAGTTTCGAAAGTAAAGTTTACTTTTGAACTTTTTAATTTATTAATTTTTTTTTTCTTTTTTTTTGCAGGTACCGGTAGATTGAGCTTCTAGATCTTAGACGATATGATTAGTAAGTTTCGAAAGTTTAGTTTACTTTCAAAACTTTTTTCTTTAAATTTTTTCTGTTTTGTTTTGAAAAAACTAACCATTTCTAGTTCTTTTGTCTATTTTGTAGGAATCATCTTCGAGTTTTAGGTCGGCTTCTCAGGTAAGTTTTGAAGTTTCTCTTTGAAACTTTTTTTTATTAAATTAATTTTTTTTTATTTTATCTTTTTATTGTAAGTTGTAGACGACGTTATAAGGACTATCCATAATGGGATTGGTGAAACGTTCAGACCACGTGCCGGTAATGGTGACTCTAGTATGGACCTGTCTCTTATACACATCTAGATGTGTTTGTAGACGACGTTATAAGGACTATCCATAATGGGATTGGTGAAACGTTCAGACCACGTGCCGGTAATGGTGACTCTAGTATGGACAGAGAAGTAGTGCTCATAACAGATCTGTTCAGACTGGATTCAGCTTAAATCTGATCTGATCTGATTTTTATTTTAATAGATCTGATCTGATTCGAATCTGATCAGATCTGGTTCAATTTGATCCGAATCTGGTTTAGATCTATTTGAATCTGATTTGAATCTGATCTGAATCTGGTTTGGATCTGGTTTTATCCTAAAAAAAGGAAGGGAACGTTAATTACGTTCCTTAAGTAAAAATAAGAAAAAAAACAAAAAAAAGAAACGAACTTATCATAGTTCATTTTTTTTTTTGAATCCTGGTCGTTTAGCTTCGTCTCATGTCCAGGTTTTCTAAAAAAAAGAAAGGAAACATTAATTAGTACGTTCCCTTAAGTAAAAATAAAAATAAAAATAAAAAAAATGAACTTACCATAGTTCGTTTTTTTAAATCTTGGTCGTTCAGCTTCGTTTCTGTCTCTTATACACATCTAGATGTGTATAAGAGACAGCTTTAAGGTAGTGAGAAATGGGGAAGGGGGTTTGTTCAGTTATTTTTAATTAAAGAAATGAACTTTTTTTTTTTTGTAGAACTCCTACTAGTAAGACGCTGGCTTGAATACGGAACTGAACTTTAAGGTAGTAATGGGAAAGGGTTGGGATTTTGTTATTTTTAATTTAAGAAATAATCTAACGTTTCTTTTCGTATTTTTTTGTAGAGTTCTGGTTTCTTCGGCTTTGGGACTTGAATCTGGTAAGTTTCGATTCGAAACTTATGTTTTTTTAATTTATTTTTTTTTTAATTTATTTTTTTTTTAATTTTCTTGTTTTTTTTTGTAGGTATGATTCTTTCGGCTTTGGAACTTGAATATATGGTAAGTTTCGATTTGAAATTCAAAACATAACTTTTTTTTTCTAATTTATTTTTTTTTAAATTTTATATTATTTTTTTTGTAGGTATCGGTTTGTTTATTTTTCGATTAAATAATATGATTTTTTGATACCTTCTTTGATATCTAACTNCAAAAAAAAAATGAACTTACCTAGTTCGTTCTTTTAAATCTTGGTCGTCCGGCTTCGTCCGTTTATCCAGGAAAAGTTTTTTAAAAAAAAAAATTTTTTTTTTTTATTTAAAAAAAATCTGATCTGAATCTGTTCAGATCAGATCAGATTTTCTTGTGTTATGATCTGATCTGATCTAAAATTGATCAGATCAGAATTTTGAAAACCGAACCAGATCTGACTCAGATCAAATCTGCGGATCCAGATCAGATCGGATTTTTTTCAGAGCACTACAGAGAAGGCACAGGAGCATGTGACGACAAGTACAAATGTGAAACTGTCGTATTGTTATGACGTAAAGAAGTCAAAGATAATCTGTCGTGTGGCTGAATGTTTGTTAGGTTAGGATTGAATCTACTAGCTCTTGTGGAACCAGTTGATGGAGAATCAAAAATATGTCGTGCGTATTGTCATTGACGTTTGTGAATAAGCATAAATCACAAATGCTATTGGATGAATTTGAGGAGATTTTCAAATAAAATGTTTATTTTTAATAGAAACATTTAGCTAATATTTTTGGGTTAATTAGATTAGTATAGATTTAGTAGACTTTAGTATAGATTATTATAATGTAATTTAATAAATAATTTATTATTCAATAACATTTAGCATTGTCATATTAACATAATTTATATAAATTTGATATGATGTTTATTATCTTTAAAATAATGTACATCGTTAATGGACATTAAAATTAGGTGATGTATATCAAATGTTGTGATATCAATTGTACATTACAAGGTCTGATGTTCAGCGCTTCTTTATGATGTACATCAAGTGACTGATGTACATTTGATGAACATTTTTCCCATGACTTCCTGATGATTGAAAGGTGTTCTTGATAACTTGTTAAAAGAAGATTTGTCAAATGAAGAAGTTCAGGACTCAAAAGTATTGGACATACAGTTTGCTGGTAAGATAGTATATTGAACTAGTTAACAAATAATTATATAATTAACATTTTGTTTATTACATAAGGCTTAGATGGCCAGATAATAAGAATAGATCTACTTGACGTCAGACTGTATTTCAGATTAGAGGGACTAACTTTTAGTTTTTTAGCGTAACTTATAAATATAAAATGTCTTTGTGGAGTATTAAAGGCCTTATATTTCTTCAAAGTAAGATACTGCTGGCACCCTGTTATTGTTTTAATTTATATTTATTTGCCTTTTATTTCTATACTTTTAACAAGAAGTTATTAAAAAAATGAAGCTAATACCTGATCCAAAAAAGATGAATAACCCATATAATTGGATATTTCACTTAAATTTGAGTACTTTAATAAAAGCAAAATATTTTAAAACTGAATTTATTCGAGAAACACATTTCACACCAAAAAAAAAAAACAATATAGAAACATACAAACAGTTATACAAGGATCTAATATTAACTGAAGAATTATGCATTCCATTAGGCAAAGATCTTAGGCTTGACTTAAGGTTGCTGGAGAAACTAGGGGTTTTGGCAAGTTAACAAAATGCTGAAATAGCGAAACTTTGCCAAAACTATATAAAAGTCTTATTAAAAAGTTGGCAAAACTCTGGAGAAAAGCAAAACCGGACAAAACTTATTATAAATGCCGAAACTGCTAAAACCTTGCCGAAATTATAATAAAACTATAGTAAAATTTTGGAGAAACTAATCGTAGAATTTTGGAGAGGTTTAGACAGGTAACCTTAGCTTGACTATAAAAAAAAATATTAACGCTATATATAATGCATTAGGTACCATATAAATCTGCTTTAAATCGCATTTTTACCTTTACTTAACTCTAATATGCTTGTTACAAATTGATAATTATGTCAGAAATGTTATTAATAGACCAAGGCCTAATAAATGTATTGATATTATTTTAGACAAGATTTTTAATAAATCTATGCCTACTGCCTAAACCTATTAATCTTCACCTTGGTTATGATATAGAATATATTAGAGGATATTATATTATAGCCATCCCATACAATTTGAAAAGATAGTTAAGATGGAAAGAATATATGATAATTTATCTATTATTAGATTGTATAAAACTCCAGAATAATGGGCTAATCATGCAACTGATTACTGAAAAATACAGAAGTTATTTATTATTATGTATTCTGCCTTTTTGGATCATTTGGGCAAGAAGTAACCAAAACATACTATGATAACTATATAGGAAGAGAAATTCCCATTAGTTATCACAGGTCTAGGGTTTACAAAAGTGAAATGGCTATTTAAAGGTTACTGATGTAAAACCAAAAAAGACATATTTCAATGGATGGTGCAGATATAGCTATGAAGTTAAACTCAAAGATTTGATAAAACTTTATTAAGATAATAAATGCTCTAAAGCTAAAACTGAAGATGGAAATGCTTAACTTATTCAAAGAGCTTATAGAAATTACAGGAAGAGGTCTGTTTCATTAGTAAAACAAATTTGAAAAGCAGTTAGAAATGATAATATTTTTAAGGAAAAGAAGTCCTTCACATACCTGATAAAGAAATTTGTTGCACTGTAAACTTGGAAATATGGTATTCTATTGATGAAGGGTATAAATCTTATTATATTTTGCAAGATCAACTTTATGATCATATAAGTTATTTAAAACATAAGAGATGCCAATTATCTGATAGATTATCCATAGCAAAAAATAAAATACAATGCAATTATATCAAGCTTATGAAAACTAAAGACTTCACATCAAATTTGATTAGTAAGTTTTGGAATGCAGATTATAGCATGATAGTATAACTTAGTACAAGTGGGATATTATGCTATATTAAAGAGTAATATTCCACTTACTGGTAATAAGGAATTATATGATTCTGTCTACCAGATAATTTCCTTCTAGTTAAATCTAGTTGTTTTATATTATAAATATATTGAAAATAAATAAATTTATTCTTAAAAAATATAATTTATTTGGAAATAATTCAATAAAGGATTTTGTTTTTTAACCACCTGCAACATGTCGTATGGATCATATGGCTACTGAATTTTATTGGTTGAATTTTATGTCATGATTCTGCAATGCAAAATATGATGTGATTTTTTTATTTTTATTTTTTGTGTTATTTGTTATAGGAATACTATTGTTACTTTTTTTTTCTTTTTTTTTTCTTTTTTTAAAGATTTTAACTTTAGACTTTCAGTTAGCATTGTAAGTATTTTATCTTTTGCCTTTTTTTTGTGTTCTGGAAACATTACTAGTGATTTTTTTTCTTTTTTTTTTTAGGGATTTCAGCTTTGGATTTCAGCATTGTAAGTATTTTCTTTTCTTCGTAGTTTATTTTGTGTTCTGAGAATGCTACTAATGTTCCTTTCTTTTGTTTAGAAACATTTCTGGATTAATGACTTCAGTTTTAAATTACAAAAACGTGAGTATTTTTGGAGGTTATATTTTTTCATGATTTAGAGAAGTTATTAATATTCCTTTTCTTGCTTTTTTATTTCTGAATATAGTTACATCTTAAAAAATAAAGAACACAGAGGTCAAGAAAAATGTCAAAGGGAATCAATATCTCAAAAATAAAAATACAGATCAAGGGCAATATTGAAGGGTAATTACATCCCAAAATTAAAAAACATAAAAATCAAGAATACAAAATTAAGGAATAGAAAGATCAAAGGCAGTATCAAAGAGTAGTTACATCCCAAAGTTATAGAATGCAAAAATCAAAATACAGAGTTAAGGAATAGAAAGATTAAGGACAGTATTAAAGGGTAATTACATCCTAAAGTTAAAGAATGTGAAAATCATAGAATACAAAGTCAAGAAATAGAAAGATTAAGGGCAGTACCAAAGGTAATTACATCTTAAAGTTATAAAACACGAAAATCAAGAACACAAAGTTAAAGATCAAGGGCAGTATCAAAGGGTAATTACATTCCAAAGTTATAGAACGTGAAAACTAAGAATACAAAATTAAGGAATAGAAAGATCAAAGATAGTATCAAAGAGTAATTACATCCCAAAATTATAGAATGCGAAAATCAAAAACACAAAATAATAAAAAACACAATTACACAAAGATTAAGAATTATGATCAAAGATAAAGAATATGAAAATTAAAAATAACATTAAAGAGTAGTCCCATCCCAAAATCCAATAAATAAAAGAGAGAGAACATTAGTGATGTTTTTAATTAAGAAAAAAAAGAAAAAGAAAACTAAACAAAAAAACTTATCTACAATTTTAAAGTTCAAGCCAAAGTCTAGAGTCCAAAGATGCCATTCCTAAAAATGAGAAGGAAAAGAAACGTTAGTAATGTTCTTCATATAATGATCAACAAACTCACTAATAATGGTACTGCCCAAAACTGTAAGGTTTTACCATATGCTGAAACTGAAATGGTAAAACCAGTTTCAGAAAAATCAATCAAGTCCAAAATACCAAAACTTACCTAAAATATACGAAATTTTCCAAAACTTATAATTTACATCTTGATAATCAAAATTACATTTTTTACAATTAAACGAAAATATTTAAAATTTTGTTTATTTTTTTATTTTTATGTATAATTTTATCTTAAACAATAAAAAACAATAAAATTCTTACACCAAATTTTCAGCATATAATATTCACAATTTTAAAATTTATAATAGGACCCTGAATATCTAATATAAAGGTTATAATGGACTTTTGGCCAAAAACACCCCTTTTTGCTAAAACTCAAAAAATCGTTTTTTGTAAATATCTTAGCATCCAGTGATTCAATTTTAATGAACATTTTTTTATTTTGTAGCCCTCATCTAGCTCTACAATTTAAAAAATAGTTCATCAAAATTGGACTACTGGATGCCAAGATATTTACAAAAAACGATTTTTTGAGCTCTGAAAAATGGGCCAATTTGCCAAAAGTGTGACTTGATCCCGATCTGCCAACTCTTTCTTGTAGATCCTTGGTCAAAAATTTCGCAGAAGAAATTTTTTATTCTT